ACGGGCCCTCCGAGATTTTTCGCCCTTGTCCGACAAGGCTAAGTGTAGTTCTTTCCTACCAGAAGATCAGGGGTGTGGCAGAAAGACAGCAGTAAGAAGGAGCCAAGGAGTAGCAGTAGAAAGGCTGCAGAAAGAGCCAGGAACTTCCAGAACAGGCGGCACGTGATGGGGGGGGGTGGGGGCAGTGAGTGGAAATGAAAGCAGACAACAGAACATTGCTAGAGAGCAGGAAAGGAGGTGAAGGGAGAGAGGGGGGTGAGAAATACCTGCATGAGTATATAGTCCATGTACAATCATACATTTATCTCACAGACATCACGACACAGAGAGCACAGAGTTACTGGCTAATGAATGATACGTCCGTCACTTATTGCTTTACCAAAGACAAAGTGTTCAGAGAATTATCGTGACCCTCCGCCTAAAGCATCAGCTTGCACACAGACACACACATACACACACATACACACACACACATACACACACACACACACACACACACACACACATACACACATATACACATATACAGAGAGAGAGAGAGAGAAAGAGAGAGAGGGAGAGAAAGAGAGAGGGAGAGAAAGAGAGAGAGAGAGAGAGAGAGAGAGAGAGAGAGAGAAAGAAAGAGAGACTGACAGATACAACCACACATACATACACAGATACACACTTTTATCTATGTCATGAAAAAAAAAGGATCTTGTCTTTCACTGGTTCAGGTCATGAATCGTTTCACTTCTAGTTTCTAGATTACCCCACAGAGAAAAATTTACAATAAAGCCTCTCCCACTTAGATTGATCTTGGGCAACAAAACAACAAAATCTCCTAGTCTGTGAGGACGTGAAAGTCTGGCTGTCTACAGCCCAGAATAACTCCCTATATAGCTACACCGTTGTCAACAAAACCAGAGACAAGCTACAGACTTCAACATAAGTTAACCCTGTCCGTACGCCCTGGGGTCAATTTGCACCCTCGGGGTTGTATTCTTCACATTTTAAAATATTTCTAGTACGAAGATATATTTGAAACTTTCAGTATTTCTCAAAAAATCATTTTGACAGACTGCTCTACGAGTAAATTGTCTCTTTGAAAGTGCTGGCCCAGAGTTCCCTACGTCGTAGGGATATGATAGTAAAACACGACGTACGGATAGGGTTAAGGACCACTAGCAAATTTGACTAAAATTCCCTGAGAATTTCCGAGCTGCACGTTGTGGTTTTGCCCCTTTAGGAAGATCTGCTGTTAACCCGTAAACACTTTCAGAGCAACAAAAAATTTAAACATTCCTGGCTGTCTTTTTATCGGATTTTAAAAAATCAGGGCTGTCTGTCAAGGTGGTCCTGAACTTATGTTGAAGTCTGTAAGTCCACTAATTTGTCTAGCCCAGCGCTTGCCAACCTTTGTACAGCCACCGCCCACTTCTGCCACATTTAGCAGCCTGACATTTTCCTACCACCCACCTACACGAGTTTCCAGACCGAAGTCACCCACAAACCTGTCCCCGTGGTTTTATGCACCCCGCATAATTTAGCAAAATTTGATCTTTTTTTTTTCATAATTTCAGATTATTTTCCTTTATCCTTCTTTGTTAAAATTAACAGAATCGCATAATTTCACATTTTTGGGCTCAGACTACATAATTTCAGAATTTTTCTTGCATAAAACGACGGGACAGACCAACATTACCAAACCAGTGGGAAGTATCACCCAGGTTGACAAGGACTGTTCTAGCCTTTACGATGGAAGTTTTAGGAGAGTGAGGAAATAGTTACTGTCCCAAACAGTCAGAATATAAACATTGGCACAACAGTACATAGTTACTGTCCCATATATTATACAGTCAGAATGTAAAAAACGACATATCAGTACATGTACATAGTTACTGCCCCAAACAGTCAGAATGGAAACAACAACACAACAGTACACCAGATTGGAGACTTGGAAACTATACAGAGCCTAACCACTGCTCATCACAAGGAAAAACTCGTAAAAACTGGGGTATTTGACTTTTTATAGCTCCTAAACGAAGGAATGAGAATGTCAGCAGACCTAGGTTTGTGTTTGTCCTGGCACAAAGACACCGCAGTATCTTTCCGGAGACGTCTCCGACGGAGATAGACCAATCAAAATGCCAGACCATGTAAAAACATTTTGGGGGGTTACAGGAGGGCATCCTCCCCCCCCCCTTGTTTTAACCCATAATTTGATATTTTGCCGTTAGGTTTGAAATTTTCTTGAAAATAATTGATTTGCTACAGCTAAAGAGGCTATATGTGTGATCTGCAGCAAACAATACGCAGTTTGACA